GGAGTCAGCTGGTAAGAAATCAAGTCACTATACATCAACATGCTTTTTCAAGGTAATAATTTGCACCAAAATAATGTAAAATGCACACAAAGGCTGAATCTCTTCATTTAGATAGCCCAACTCTACACAGTATTTACAAACAAACAAATACTAACCCCCCACAAAACCAAACTAGAACTGGAGAAAAAGCATGACATCCTACATTAACAGGAAGCTTTAACCTACTGATGGTATGTCACAGGACAAACTAGGCAATATTATCTATCTACCGCCAGTTTACGTCACAGCTTTACCTTACCATCAGGAGCTTTAAATACCTCTTCTATTCAGGCTCTTTTAGACATAAAAAGATGAATGCAGAAAACATTTCCAATGGCATTCTGCATACTGGCTAATCTCAGCTGTATCGTTACATATATGCTGCCCACTATAATTTACTGAGTGGGCAGACACACTGGAGGCCAAAATACTGAGGGCTAAAAAAAGTCATTGTCCATCTGCACTCTTCCCACATCAAGTTCAGAATAAAACAAAGGGAAAAACAGTTTTTAATGTAATATAGCTTCAAAAAATCAATTAAAAATATAAACTGCCTGACTATGTTGGAGTAAGTTTGAAGGTATGCACGGTGGACCCTTTTTATAATATGAGAGACTCAAGATACTTATTAATAAAAGTAAACAAAACATCGAAACAGAATTCCTGCTCAACTCAACAGGAACCCTGAATTAACTGTACCTCTGAGGTAACGTGTATTGTTACACTCTCTTGTATTCATTATGATGCCAGATTCTCCACTGCTTGAAGAACTTACTGTTTTTCAGGAACTATCTGAACTCTGCTCCTATTATTGAGTCAGTTTTGTGACAAAAAAGATGCAAGTTAAACTTAAGAGCTATCTAAATGGATATGTGGCAGTAAATAGAGTTTTATTACATTATTTTTATGCTGCAGCTATCAGCAAACTACGTTTAATAATTTTTAAAGATCTTTTAAAAAGTAAGGCAAATTCTATCTTACTCATTTTTTGATAAATTCTCTTTGTCTGAAATTTGGATTTCTTTAACAGCTACAGAATATCCTTAAAGCCTCAAGTTCCTCCAGTGTTTTCAGGCTGCTAGAGGAGACACCATTTTCAAGCCTTCTTTTAGCTTGGAACTGAATCACTGATGGTACTGCAGGCAAGCTATGAAATACAACATGATATTTATTTTCAGACCCAACAAGTACGGAACTCTTGGAACATTGCAGAGCCAAAATGACTTCTAGCAGGTGGCTTTGGTATATTTACAGAAAGCGTGCTTAACTCTTACTCAAGTTTTAACAGACAACTCTCAATTTTAGCACTACAGCCTTGTCCTCCTAAGAGTTTTTCTATCTGAACAGCTTAGGCTGCATTGCTGACACTCAGCAAGGGTTTGCATATGAATCACTAACATTTCCACATTAATTTCATTTTGCTGAAGAACAAATCAGTCTTGCATACCTGAAAAGTATGCACGTAAATAATGCAACATAAATCACACTCATGCAAATACTAGACCTTGCATTTAAGGCTAAAATTACTTGGAACTCTCTGCTTGTAAGAAGGTGAAGTAGTGAAGTCACATTCAAACACTTAATGATACTGGCAGTCGGATCCCAGCAAATGCAATGAACTTAACAGCCATTGCCTGAAAGCATTTTACTCAGTGTTCTTTCAGGCAGTCTTTAAAACCCTTTCTTCAATAAAGTGTGTGTAGGGGGAAGCAAAGGGCTTATTTTGCTTTGTACTTCTGTTCCTACTTCATTGCCTTCTGAAAACTGTTCTTTGTGAATGGGTTTGTAAGTAGCTCTGATACAGACCCCTGACAGAGGCACAATGAATGTTCCACTGGAAGCATTGGACACTCTCCCCTGCCAAAAAGGATGCCCAATGATCAGCTAAGGTACTCAGCTCTTAGCTGATGCTGCGACAGAAGGACTGCCCATAATTATTGTGCAGGCAAATTGCTACTGGAATGCATGAGTTTGCAAAATCAGAGTCTGCTGTTCAGTCACCTAGATCAGGCAGGTTTTCTACTAAGCTCACACCTGACCTTAGATGCCGAGGTAAAAGAACACTAAGTTTAACAACAGTAGCATGCCTAACTTTTGCAAAGGGAAATCCAGGATTAATCTTCATAGCCTTCTTCTACAGTTACCTTCATCCGGCACAGGTAGCGCACTCGGAAATGAATGACTGTGCTAATGCACAAAAATGGGTCTCTCAGGTTGAATACAGCTGCAGTTACCATTGTTACAGTTTCACTAAGTAAGTAATATATATTGCTGTGTTATTTCTTGGTAACTTCCTATATTTCTTGGTAACACTACAAAGGTTACTTCAGCTCAGCAACACTTTGCATTGAGAGAGGTTACTGGAGAGGCTTGTGGGAATCTCATTGACACCTGCTCTATATTCCCCAAGAGACCCCGACAGCTAGTTGTGATCGCTGCTTCTGTTCCTGATAAGTTCTGAAGTGTGGGGTGCTGCGGGGAGCCATTCTGTCACCCCTTCTGTTCCACATTTATATGGAGCTATAAAAAGGGCTAGTGAGAAGTCAAGGAAGGTTTCCCCGCCCTCAGTTTATTCATGAATACAAGATGCATGTCTTTACTGTTAGAGGTTTAATTCCATTATTGATCAGATGTTAAGAGCACCTACAGCTGTAAGGTAGGAACTCTGACATCCAACCAAACATCAACTAAATAAATGTGAGCAAGTGCTTTGTAAATCAAAGACTGAGTAGTAACATGCAATTACCTGCTTGCACCTCATTCAAAGAATTCAATTAATAATTGTTAATAACCATAATCCACAGCTACCCAAAGATAGAGACCACCAGAAGTTAGAATATCCTTTTCATGTAAAATTCTGCAAAGAACTGGGAGGTAAAGGAAAGGAGATTTGGTTTGGGGTTTTTTTTTTTTTTTTTGGTTTGTGGTTTTGTGGGTTTTTTTGTTCTGTTTTTTTTGAAGCCCATACAGAAACTCCAAAAATTATCGTTACAGCTTTATTAGTAACTTATATTGCAAATTCCTAAATGCCACATAGAAGCATCAGATCAAAGGCATCCAAGCTCATGCAGAACTTTCAGAGTCTTTATGCCTCCTGTTCTGTAGCAGTGGAGTCTAGACCCCTTTGAAATCCCAGGCTTGCGAGCTGCGTAGCGCTAACCAGGGGGCAAACTCCAGAATCTTAGTTGCCTGCTTACTTACACAGGTTTAGAAAGGCTCTTGAAGAACAAGACGGTAGGTTACCTTGTCTGGTATGTTTTGAATCAGAGCATACAGACTCTACTGCTGTTTCAAAACAAGCTGGTAGTTTCCACATAGATTGTGTCTGAAAATATTTTTGACCTATTCTACTTAATATAGTCAGAGTATGAAAGAGGCTCAAAGAGAAAATATTTATTATTACAACACCCTTTCCCTCTACCAACAGCAGCCCCTGCAGTGATATTACAGGCAGTCTTGGTGCTGAGTACTGTAGGGTAAATTGCGAGTTTGATTGACTTGAACCAACTAAATATTTTTCCCCAAGGGAACTTTTATAAGATGACAGAGATCAACCAGACAATCTTAATGGACTTTTTTTAACAGATTCTAAGTTATCTGTTTACTCCTTGCCATTTCACAAATGGTATTATAAAAAGCAGGTTTAAAATGTAGTTTTCTGATACAGTATTTATATTAATTTTAAAGCTAATTCTACTATGTGTTCTTTATCGTTACCATCCTTTGTAATGAATTCTACCCCAAGGACCTTTGGTGAGAGCAGTAATTGCCTTACAATACAGAGTGCAGATGGATCAACAGCAGACAGATGTGTGTGTGATCTGGCTGGGAAGTGATAGATTTTCATTGTCTGAGGTAGACAGCGGTGCCCAGATATTTGGAGAGGACCGGTGCTTTCCAGATTGCGTGAGAAGGGGTGGCAGACTCGCATTAATATTGTTTGCCAGTTTCACAGTTTGAGCTAGAGACAGTAATCTGCTTTAGAAAATATCTGCAAAATTAAGGAGCCAAATCAGTCAGTGATTTTACTCCAAGGATTGTTTATTCAGTCAGTTTAAACATGGCAGGTGATCTACAAACACCTATTCATTACCAGGCAGGATTCTATATCCTCATTTGCATGTGGTAGTAAATTCTTT